CGTTGTTTACACTTGGTTTACACGTTGTTTACACTTGGTTTGGACGTTCTTTACACTTGGTTTACACGTTGTTTACACTTGGTTTACACGTTGTTTACGCTTGGTTTACACGTTGTTTACACTTGGAATACACGTTGTTTACACTTTGTTTAGACGTTGTTTACACTTGGTTTACACGTTGTTTTCACTTGGTTTACACGTTGTTTACACTTGGTTTACACGTTGTTTACACTTTTTTTAGACGTTGTTTATACGGAGTGTACACGTTGTTTACACTTGGTATACACGTGGTTTTCACTTGGTTTACACGTTGTTTACACTTGGTTTACACGTTGTTTACGCTTGGTTTAGACGTTGTTTACACTTGGTATACACGTTGTTTACACTTGGTTTAGACGTTGTTTACACTTGGTTTACACGTTGTTTAAACTTGGTTTACACGTTGTTTACGCTTGGTTTAGACGTTGTTTACACTTGGTATACACGTTGTTTACGCTTGGTTTAGACGTTGTTTACACTTGGTTTACACGTTGTTTACACTTGGTTTACACGTTGTTTACACTTGGTTTACTCGTTGTTTACACTTGGTTTACACGTTGTTTACACTTGGTTTAGACGTTGTTTACACTTGGTTTACTCGTTGTTTACACTTGGTTTACACGGTGTTTACACTTGGTTTAGACGTTGTTTACACTTGGTTTACTCGTTGTTTACACTTGGTTTACACGTTGTTTACACTTGGTATACACGTTGTTTACACTTGGTTTACACGTTGTTTACACTTGGTTTACACGTTGTTTACGCTTGGTTTAGACGTTGTTTACACTTGGTTTAGACGTTGTTTACACTTGGTTTACACGTTGTTTTCACTTGGTTTACACGTTGTTTACACTTGGTTTACACGTTGTTTACACTTTTTTTAGACGTTGTTTATACGGAGTGTACACGTTGTTTACACTTGGTATACACGTTGTTTTCACTTGGTTTACACGTTGTTTACACTTGGTTTACACGTTGTTTACACTTGGTTAACACGTTGTTTACGCTTGGTTTAGACGTTGTTTACACTTGGTATACACGTTGTTTACACTTGGTTTAGACGTTGTTTACACTTGGTTTAGACGTTGTTTACACTTGGTATACACGTTGTTTACACTTGGTTTAGACGTTGTTTACACTTGGTATACACGTTGTTTACACTTTTTTTAGACGTTGTTTATACGGAGTGTACACGTTGTTTACACTTGGTATACACGTTGTTTTCACTTGGTTTACACGTTGTTTACACTTGGTATACACGTTGTTTACACTTGGTTAACACGTTGTTTACACTTGGGTTACACGTTGTTTACACTTGGTATACACGTTGTTTACACTTGGTTTAGACGTTGTTTACACTTGGTTTACACGTTGTTTACACTTTTTTTAGACGTTGTTTATACGGAGTGTACACGTTGTTTACACTTGGTATACACGTTGTTTACACTTGGTTTAGACGTTGTTTACACTTGGTATACACGTTGTTTACACTTGGTATACACGTTGTTTACGCTTGGTTTAGACGTTGTTTACACTTTGTTTACTCGTTGTTTACACTTGGTTTAGACGTTGTTTACACTTTGTTTACTCGTTGTTTACACTTGGTTTACACGTTGTTTACACTTGGTATACACGTTGTTTACACTTGGTTTACACGTTGTTTACACTTGGTTTACACGTTGTTTACACTTGGTATACACGTTGTTTACACTTGGTATACACGTTGTTTACACTTGGTTTACACGTTGTTTACACTTGGTTTAGACGTTGTTTACACTTTGTTTACTCGTTGTTTACACTTGGTTTACACGTTGTTTACACTTGGTATACACGTTGTTTACACTTGGTTTACACGTTGTTTACACTTGGTTTACACGTTGTTTACACTTGGTATACACGTTGTTTACACTTGGTATACACGTTGTTTACACTTGGTTTACACGTTGTTTACACTTGGTTTACACGTTGTTTACACTTGGTATACACGTTGTTTACACTTGGTTTACACGTTGTTTACACTTGGTTTACACGTTGTTTTCACTTGGTTTACACGTTGTTTACACTTTTTTTAGACGTTGTTTACACTTGGTATACACGTTGTTTACACTTGGTTAACACGTTGTTTACACTTGGTTTACTCGTTGTTCATACGTAGTGTACACGTTGTTTACACTTGGTTTACTCGTTGTTTATACGTAGTGTACACGTTGTTTACACTTGGTTTACTCGTTGTTTACACTTGGTTAACTCGTTGTTTACACTTGGTTAACACGTTGTTTACACTTGGTTTACACGTTGTTTACACTTGGTTTACACGTTGTTTACACTTGGTTTCGACGTTGTTTATACGGAGTGTACACGTTGTTTACACTTGGTTTACACGTTGTTTACACTTGGTTTACACGTTGTCTACACTTGGTTTCGACGTTGTTTATACGGAGTGTACACGTTGTTTACACGTTGTTTACACTTGGTTTACACGTTGTTTACACTTGGTTTCGACGTTGTTTATACGGAGTGTACACGTTGTTTACACGTTGTTTACACTTGGTTTACACGTTGTTTACACTTGGTTTACACGTTGTTTACACTTGGTATACACGTTGTTTACACTTGTTTTAGACGTTGTTTACACTTGGTTTACACGTTGTTTACAATTGGTTTACACGTTGTTTACACTTGGTTTACACGTTGTTTACACTTGGTATAAACGTTGTTTACACTTGGTATACACTTGGTTTACTCGTTGTTTATATGTAGTGTACACGTTGTTTACACTTGGTATACACGTTGTTCACACTTGGTTTACTCGTTGTTTATACTTAGTGTACACGTTGTTTACACTTGGTTTACACGTTGTTTACACTTGGTATACACGTTGTTTACACTTGGTATACACGTTGTTTACACTTGGTATACACGTTGTTTACACTTTGTTTACACGTTGTTTACACTTGGTTTAGACGTTGTTTACATTTGGTTTACACTTGGTTACACGTTGATCCACCCCTATGCTATTTCATGCAACATCTACGTCATCAGTTCCAGTCATCGTCTGCTCTGCCATCTCTGTGTTCTTCAACTCCATCGTCATCCGCGTCTTAAGCTTTGTCAATATCTGCATGCGTCATCTTTGCCATCTCTTTAACTGAGTCATCATCTCCGCCACCATCTGTGCCTTCATCTCGTCATCGTCATCTGCGTCACTTTATCCAGTCTACATCTTCAGTTTTGTCACTATCTGCACCAACGACGTCATATCTCCATCTCCAGTTCCACCCTCATCTGCATCAACAACGTCATATCTCCATCTCCAGTTCAGCCCTCATCTGCATCAACAACAGCTCCGTCTTTATGTGTTGGGGCGGTCGGGTAGCCTAGTGGTTAAAGCGTTCGCTCGTCACGCAGAAGACCCGGGTTCGATTCCCGACATTGGTACAATGTGTGAAGCTCATTACTGGTGTTCCCGGCCGTGATATAGCTGGAATATTGCTAAAAAAGCGTAAAATCAACCTCACTCACTCACTCTTTATGTGCATCAGCTCCGGCACCATCTGCATCATTAACTCCGTTTTCCTCTTCATCATCAGCTCCGTTACCATTTCCGTCACCATCTCCATTTCCCGTCTCCGTCTTCATCTGCATCATCAGCTCCGTCCTTGTCTGCGTCATCTGCTTTGTCATTGTCTGTATCTCCATCTGCGACTGTATTTTCTAAAGTTAAAATGTCTGTAAGACTACTCTGTGCCGCTAGTATTACACACATGTGCCTTCCCTATGGTCAGGTGAACAAGGACATGCATCCTATTCTATGTTTTGTTCGTTCGCAGTTTAACGCTGATACAGCATCACGGCAGCTACATGGCGGCTGTGAATAATCGAGTCTTGACCAGATAAACCAGTGATTGATATTATGAAGAACGATCTACACCGCGATGTTTGATTACCCAATAAGGCATGCATGTGTGTGCGTGTGTGTGTGTGTGTGTGCGTGTGTGCGTGCGTGTGTGTGTATGTGTGTGTGCGTGCGTGCGTGCGTGCGTGCGTGCGTGCGTGCGTGCGTGCGTGCGTGCGTGCGTGCGTGCGTGCGTGCGTGTGTGTGTGTGTGTGTGTGTGTGTGTGTGTGTGTGTGTGTGTGTGTGTCTGTCTGTATGTATGTATGGACAAAAAACAAACAAATTTAGCCCAGAACAACCCCAGTTTCAGAGTTGAAGCAATTGAGACTTGCTTAATCATTCTAGACTTTAGTTTTTTAATTTATTCTCTAGGGTCTGGGAGACAGACTAGTCTCAAGATACCATACTGATAAATTAATTAAAAAATTTAAATAACGTCGTTCACGGTATCCATGTCATCCCAACACAAGACTATTAAATGATCACGTTGTCAACCCGGGTGGTAACGTTGATTGTTGTCACTGACGCAGACTTTACAGCAAGATACATACATTGGACCAACTAGACCTACCCCTTGCTGATTTCGGAACATTTAAGAAGGCCCGCAGCGAACATTAATATCTTAGTCCCAGGTCCGTATCTGCATGAGAATAATGCTAATCCAAAACAAGCCACATTATCGATCGTATGCCTGAGGATGATTTTAGTCGGGATCAAATCACATTAACCCGGCAGTTAAATGGAGCAGTCAAGGGTAGGCTTGTGGAATAGATTCGATTTTACGTCGCAATATCTGCACAGCAAACACATAAAATCACCTGAAGGATCTCCTGTCATATTCAATAAACCCGTCACAGTTTATACACACAAGCAGAAGCCGAACATACTCCGACCAATTAATCAGAAATCGATCTTCAGTTCCCAACCACTGCAAGGTAACACCACCGATTCATATCCATCCTAGTCGATCAGATCAATATATGAAAATTGAGAAATAGGCAACATATATCGATATGAATGCTGATCATGCGATCTATTTATACACAATCTCGGTTAGGCCTAACTCACTCCTACTGCCTTCCTGGTTAGTAACGTTGGAGAGGGAATCTAAAGTGGTTGGGAGATCTTTCAGAGGATCGTATACTTTCTCCAGCCAGCTTAATGTTCCCGCCAGGCGAACCTTTCTGTTGCCTGTATCCCGGAGACATACCCCGTTGTTGAGTCCCTTTCAAGAGCAGATGTAGATCGCCAACAGCGGGGAGTGCACGCACGTCAATCGGCTGCCTCGCCAGTGAACGTCTGGTGACAGGAGCGCGCGCTTTGTCATGGAGCAGACGACATGTTAGGAGTTCGGAGATAGCCTGTGTGATAACGTGGTCATCTTGATAAATGCTGTACTTACATACACCAGGTAAAGGTTTTTAACACTCTTACATATTGTGAATTCCGTTTCATTTTGTTTATGGTTTTTTTTATGTTTAACAGTGTAAACGGGTAGAGTTGTGTTTATGCACGGGGAGTTACATGTATGTTAGAAATTATATCAAGACTTCTTTATCGTGACATTGAAGTGTCAGAATTCATTTCATGTGGTGACCAAATGCTTTTGATGATAGTGAAATTATTTATGGATGAATACTTAGATATGTCCGGATGGGAATTCCGTGGTAGAATAGATCCGCACTACCTCTGTTAGTCTGTTTCACAGTCCCTGAATCATATTATTTTTCCTTCCGCCCTGTCCTTTGTGTAATGCAAAAGCTCTAAATTAAGTAAGTCTAGATTTTCCTCTTCTAATTTCCCATCTCACCAATTTAAATGGAGCTGTTTGATTCTATCAAAATTATACATTTTCAGGGACTAAGCGTTAGTCTATACCTTAGTCCGGGACGTATCATGATAGGGTTGTTACATTATGGGGGCTGGTTGATTGTAGGGGATCGTGTCTGTACCGCTGTTCATGCTGTCAACCATTAGTTTGCCTGGTCGAGGCTCGACCATTTACATACCGCCGTGGTATAGAGCTATGGAATAATTTTAGTCACTCACTGACTGGCCCCCTCCCTCACTGACTGAATTCCTCATTCATTCACTCATTCACAACCTCTATACGCCTGTCCATCACCTGAAGCAAAACATTATTGTTTCGGTAACCAATGACAACCGTATGCGCAAATAACAAAACTGAACAGATTTAAGAGGTATTTGTAATACAAGCCATACTCTTTGTCTTCCAGGCAAATCTATCGTCTGACGCTGTAGAAGGCTAACAGGCGGGATTGGGCAGGGTTTAGCACATAGCCCTAGAGTCCCGGCCAACCTACCCGAAGGCCACAAATAGACCATCAATACATGCACGCTATAGTGTTTACACTGATTTGTCACGCGGCAATTTTAGCCAGCACGACATAACGACCTGCACGCAAACTTCAGGGTCAATTAGTGCTCTGACCACCTGATGATAACATTTAAGACACTGAATACGACATAAGTATGTGAAGAACTATGTCCATTGAGAAACATCGGTGAACAAACTGGCCGCAATTTTTATGCTTCGAGATTTGACAGCAAATCCGTTCGATTGTGAACGTCCAAGTACAAGACAAATACTTCTTCCTAGATCCAGAATGACGGACAGGTTAGGTGTGTCCAATAGGACGTCCCGGCGGAGAGGGACTCTGAAGAGATTTAGCACGGTGAACAACGGGACAGTGGGCCAGACAGGAGGCCGGAGACCCCCGCAGGAGAACAGGTCAGAGACCTCGGACAACCGTCCAAAGCGGGTAAGCCTTCACGTGGAGAACACCTACAGAATGAGACCTTCATCGGAGGAGAGGTTCTCCGTGACAAAGATGGAGACGCTCATGTCGGAAATACTCGACAACAGACTCAGAGACACTACGTACAATGGCGAAACGTGTTCAGAGTTGGCTAAAGAGCTTGTATGTACCATCATTGCCAAGACCAAGGAGTTTCAGTGGCAGAGGTATAAATTGGTTGCGCAAGTCCACGTCGGGCAGAATGACAGTCAGGCGGTTCAAGTCGCCAGCAGATGCATATGGGACCCTAGTTTCGACAGTTATGCGTGTGTCTCCTACAAGAATACTTCTCTGTTCGTTGTTGCCTCATGCTATGGGATATACTTTGAGTAATGTGTGTCAGGAATATTTATTGCAATATACATGGTATTTGATATTATTCCAATGCTATCTCTATGATGCCACCACCTATGAATATCTGAACTGTCACCTCCTTGATTTGGTTAAGGGTTAATTAAAACGTGTTAATTGTTGCAAATTAGGAAATACGAATAAAATAATGCTCATAATCAGTGTCGTGCATCGTATGTATATAACTATGTAAATGAGAGGGACAAAAGCTTTTCCATAATCATAAGAAATCTCAGCTAAAAGCCGAATTCAGTGTACAATTCCGACTGTACCATCAGCATCTGTTTAGTGATGATCGTCCGAGAAAAGGTTATTGTATTGTGCCCCAGGTGGCACACGTCACAAACACTTAAGGACACTGGTTGGAAGTGTCCTCCTCACGTCTACCATGAAATGTCCTGAAACGCTTTACTAACCCTGACCAAACAACATTCGAGCAAGAGTCGTGTGACGCTCTTTGAAATCTTCGTAGAAAGAACTTGCTCAAAAGTTGTGAATTGTAGACACCAAAGGCTGGATCTGTTGGAATATTGCTGAAAGGAAAGTTGACTATTGGAAATTGGAAGTCATCCCTTTGTAGATACTGTATTGTCTGAATCTTTATGCATCGATCAAAATACGAAATCTCTTGATCTCTTCTATGTCTAGTTCCGGTGGGTAAATCAGTGTAAGGTAAGATTTGACAATTATTGAACAATAAACCAGATCATCGATATACCTGAAACTTAAGGTTAACGTATTGGCCATGTTCCTGTGTTTTGATTTTGCCAATCCGAGTAGAAAGTCTATGGGGATACCTCCTCCCTACCACAATGTTCTGTCCCCACAATTCACATGCATAGATATAATCTGTTAGGGAGTCCAGTATTTCAGATATTGTTTTCTACGTAAACTTCAGATGACATTTGCTTCCATTGTTGAATAATTGTCCTGAACCTCACTGGTCAACAAGTAACGTAACAAATGCCCCACGGATCAAGGAATGACGTTTTTTACATAAGCCTTTCGTGTGGGATAGTGAAGTACAAAGTTGAAAAATTAAATGTTGAAAGAATTGAACTTCGAGGAAGAGAAATATTTAGATGTCAACTTCTTTATTATGAGGAACACAACGTTTGGGAGTATATACTTTCGCCTTCATCAGGTGAATAAGTGCTATGAGGCGTTCTCTGCCTCCAAACGTTGTGTTCATCATAATAAAGAAGTTGACATCCATAAATTTCTCCTCCTTATGTGTATGACTTCTATCACTTTGGTTCTTTTCTGAGTCTAAATATTTAAGGTTTGATAAGGTTTTTTTTCAGCTACCCAGATTATTTTAAATATTGGTGTGAAAATGATCAAACATGATCAGACTGATGACTGACAACTAGCTTCTTCTCCATCTTGCACTTTGCGTTTTGGACAGCTGACATGACAATGCACATGAGAGTGAATGTGTGAGTGAGTGAGTATGGTTTTAAGCCGCTTTCAGCAATATCACGGCATGGGACACCGGAAATGGGCTTCACACGTTGAACCAATGTGGGAAATCGAACCCGGGCGTTCGACGTGACGAGCCAAGGCTTTAACCACTGGGCTACCCCGCCGCCCCTTGTACATAAGAATGGCATACAAAGGGGACTCATAACACATTGTCCGTCGACAAAAGACTATGTCTGGTATCGAGCAAATGAGATTTAAACAAGTTATTGTTTATTTGGCCGAGGAAGAAATGAAGCTGCAATTATAATCCCACAATAGATAAAATTGCAGATGAAAACAGGAATTGTGAACGAAAACTCCAGCCACAAACTACTCTGTTGTATTCTAACAGTGACATTCATTGATATTAAATGTAAATATGGTTTGCTTTAGCACTCAGTACTATTGCATAATTGAGTTGTCAAGGGACAATGGTTGTATACTCCCAAGGGAGCTGATAATAAATATCGACTGCAATTTGATCCATTTGACCGGGGTAATAATGCCTTAGCCATTAGAACATGCTTATGCGTGGAGTAAAGTGCGATATTAATGGACAAGTATTATTGTGTGGGACCGACCGTTGAGTATTCTGCGGGGGTGGGTGGTGGCTGGGATTTTGTATCCAGATTATCTACTTTTTCAGCCTTAGCTACAAAACCAGATATTACATTTTAAAAAACACCTTACAACAATGAAGGTTTGGTAGCAAGCAGTGTCTTTTTTTTCACAGGTCAAAATCAATTTTTTTTTTCAAGTATTTAGAAAATCAGAAGAACCGACCCCCACCCCACCGCGCACACCCATCGAAATCAAAAAGGGCTTTTCGGTGTGACAAGCAAACGCCTTACCCTCCAAGCTACCCACCACCTCTTGTGAGCGCGCCAACAGTGGGAGGTTTCTGTAAATCTCAAAAACTGTTCACTCTGACGGTTGCTTTAGTTGAAAAAAATGGCGCACCACAGCTACGAAAGTATTTACTGGAACGTTGATGGTTTCGTACTTGCATAAACCTATATGGCCCCATATATCATCTTCTACACCGCCCTGAATCAATGTATAACTTAGCTGAGTGGTCCGTCGTCGGTGTACGCAGACGGTGTTGCCATGAAGCAGTGTCAGATATGAGTAATGGCCCATTTCGAGCGCGTTTTCCACAGCAAGCTATCATATTCTCTAAAATGTGTAATATTGATTGCCATTGGTTATCAGGCTCCCTGGTCGCTTAATGAGTCTTCAGCGTTGTTTGTTTGTGTGTAATACCAGATAGCACAGGTGTTAATGGTATTCGGGATCGAACTCAGTGGTATTTTGATATCAGGCATGGTAGAGTGTTGGTTAGACTATCGACGGTTTGATCTAATCTACACTGATCAATGAAGTGCAATGTGTGTACGTAACTAGACGTACAACGCTGCCCGTAGAGCCGTGTGCAACATGGTGACTGACTTCATGCTATGTCGACCACAAGCTATTGTGGCAAGGGGTCATGGTGACTGACTGCAGGCTGTGTCGACCACAAGCTATGGTGGCACGGGGTCATGGTGACTGACTGCAGGCTGTGTCGACCACATGCTATTGTGGCACGGGGTCATGGTGACTGACTGCAGGCTGTGTCGACCACAAGCTATGGTGGCAAGGGGTCATGGTGACTGACTTCAGGCTATGTCGACCACATGCTATTGTGGCAAGGGGTCATGGTGACTGACTTCAGGCTATGTCGACCAAATGCTATTGTGGCACGGGGTCATGGTGACCGACTGCAGGCTATGTCGACCACAAGCTATTGTGGCACGGGGTCATGGTGACTGACTTCAGGCTATGTCGACCACATGCTATTGTGGCACGGGGTCATGGTGACCGACTTCAGGCTATGTCGACCCAGGCTATTGTGGCAAGGGGTCATGGTGACTGACTTCAGGCTATGTCGACCACATGCTATTGTGGCACGGGGTCATGGTGACTGACTGCAGGCTATGTCGACCACATGCTATTGTGGCAAGGGGTCATGGTGACCGACTTCAGGCTATGTCGACCACATGCTATTGTGGCACGGGGTCATGGTGACATCTGTGTGGATTATAATATAAGGGCTTGCTGTTACGAGAATAACATTACATGGGTTAAGGGCTAATTTGAGACATAATTTGAGCTATAAGGACGTCAATTCACTGTTACGGTTTTTACGGTACCGCCGTTACAATGACGACATTCACGGTTATGCTATTTACTGCTCTGCCGTTACAATGACGACATTCGCGGTTATGCAATTTACTGCTCTGCCGTTACAATGACGACATTCAAGGTTATGATATTTACTGCTCTGCCGTTACAATGACGAGGTTCACGGTTATGCTATTTACTGCTCTGCCGTTACAATGACGACATTCACGGTTATGCTAATTACTGCTCTGCCGTTACAATGACGACATTCACGGTTATGCTATTTACTGCTCTGACGTTAAAATGACGAGGTTCACGGTTATGATATTTACTGCTCTGCCGTTACAATGACGACATTCACGGTTAAGGCATTTACTGCTCTGACGTTACAATGACGAGATTCACGGTTATGCTAATTACAGCTCTGCCGTTACAATGACGACATTCACGGTTATGCTAGTTACTGCTCTGTCGTTACAATGACGACATTCACGGTTGTGATATTTACTGCTCTGCCGTTACAAGGACGACATTTCACGGATTCGATATTTATTGTACTGTCGTTATATGGACGACAATTCGCGGGTACGATATTTACGGTACTGCCGTTACAACGACGACAATTCACGGGTACGATATTTATGGTACAACCATTACAAGGAGGACAATTCACGGGTACTATATTTACAGTACTGCTGTTACAAGGAGCATAATTCACGGGGACAGTGTTTTCTTACTTGCCATTACAAGGACGACAATTCACAGGTACGATATTTACGGTACCGCCGTAACAAGGACGACATTTCACAGGTACGGTATTTACGGTACTGCCGTTACAAGGACGACAATTCACGGATTCGATATTTAGGGTACTGTCGTTAGAAGGAGGATAATTCACGGGGACGGTGTTCACATACTGCCGTTACAAGGACGACAATTCACGGGCACGATATTTATGGTACAACCATTACAAGGAGGACAATTCACGTGCACGATATTTACGGAACTGCTGTTATAGAGACGACAATTCACGGATTTGATATTAAGGGTACTGCCGTTAAAAGGAGGACAAATCACGGGGACAGTGTTTTCTTACTTGCCATTACAAGGACGACAATTCACAGGTACGATATTTACGGTACTGTCGCTACAAGAAGGATAATTCACGGGTACTATATTTACAGTACTGCTGTTACAAGGAGCATAATTCACGGGGACGGTGTTTTCTTACTTGCCATTACAAGGACGACAATTCACAGGAACGATATTTACGGTACCGCCGTAACAAGGACGACATTTCACAGGTACGGTATTTACGGTACTGCCGTTAGAAGGAGGATAATTCACGGGGACGGTGTTCACATACTGCCGTAACAAGGACGACAATTCACGGGCACGATATTTACGGTACCGCCGTAACAAGGACGACATTTCACGGGCACGATATTTACGGTACTGCCGTTACAAGGACGACAATTCACGGATTCGATATTTAGGGTACTGTCGTTAGAAGGAGGATAATTCATGGGGACGGTGTTTTTACTGTCGCTACAAGGGGGATAATTCACGGGTACGATATTTACGGTACTGCTGTTACAAGGACGACATGGTCACGATATATGCTGGCAACGGCCATGGTTGCACTGGCTCCTCTTACCATGATCAATAGTCGTGTCAGAACGTGGGTTCCTATATTCCTGTTATATTACGCCATGTCAGCTTAATGTGGGAGGAAAAGCCGCAATGATGCAGGTCTCAGACGTTTACCGCTTCGGTGAAACCCACAAGGGTTTGCTGCCGACAAACCTGGAAACACCATCAGATTCGAACCCACGATCATAGCTTTCTAGTAAGTCTAAGTGACGCGAATCTGCATATCAAACTGTGTGCCTTAGGCGACTGGGCCACCCGTGCCCCCTCAAAACTAATATGACCGAACAACTGTTCAAAGCGGCGTTAAACCAAACGGACTCACTCATTCAGATTTTAAAGGAATGCGATATTGTTCGAAGCGGCGTAAAATCTCACTGAACCTGTATCCAATAACGTGTGGTCTCAATTTCCAAAATTTATATTTTAGTTTTAATTTTGTTCTGGTTGGCATTAAGCACCGAATACCATGACGCCCTGCTTCCCGACTTTGTCTTGGTGTTGAGAAAGCAAATATTACCCCGTCTCGTGGTTCGTTTATCCGGGGACGATACCGCCACCATTGAAGGGGTGTGTCACTGCATCAATAGCGTAATCACTGTTGTAGACACCGCTTCCCATCCCTCTCCACTGAGACAGGAGTTTGATATTGGAAACCTCTCTTTTAAAAAATGCTTTATCCATCTTAGCAACCATCCCTCTCTCCCCCCCCCCCCCCCCCCCCCCCCCCCCCACACACACACACACCTCCAACCCCCCACCTCCACACACACACACACACATACAGAGATACACACACACACGCACGCACGCACACACACACACACACACACACACACACACACACACACACACACACACACACACACACACACACACCAATTATGTAGTGACAAGAAAAATATCATGACTACCAAAAGTAAACTACGCTAATTACGCTAGTCACGCATGCTGTATGTTAAATGCACCGGTCATGCCGGTATTTGCAGCTTCAAAAAGGCTGAATCCGCGCTTGCAGTGATATACTGTACCACATGATATGTTAACTGTAATGTACCCTGTCCATGCAGCCAGTTACAGGTACACGCACATCGGCCTGTGGAGTACAGTCTGACGAGCTATCGACAAGCAGGTCACACAGACACGTGGCGAGGTTTGTTCACGACACGGTTGCGTGTGGAAGTATATCGGAGACCAAATCAGGGAAACATTATCCGTCTGAGGGTAGAGGTCAAACTGTTGTGCTTTCTTTGCCAAAGGTCATGACCGCAGATTACCACACGTGATGAACGAATCACGGAGTCATGGGATTCAAAGAGATCTGCATGTTAACTCGAACCTGAATATACTGAGTGAGTGAGTGAGTTGGGTTTAACGCCGCTTTGAACATTATGTCGGTGACAAGACGGCGAATAGTTTAATTACTGTTAGATCCGGACTCATGACGAGCAAGTGTAACGTTTGGGCGAATCTAGACTAACATTTAGTTACTGACATAAAGCTATCTTGCTAAAAATATGTATCTGCAAATAAAAAATAATATCAAAATAGAGCCCAGAATAATTCAACGAAGACTTGCTAAATCATTCTATACTTAAATTGGATACTTTTGTTCATTTATTTTCTGGGGTCTGGTTGACGAGGTGAATAGGGTTTAACGTCGCGTTCAAGAATATTGCACTTATGTAGCGGTGTGTGTATGTGTGTGTGTATGTGTGTGTGTGTGTACTTGTTGTGACCCTGTCTTGCGCTCGGTATTAAGGGACTAAAACAAGGACTGGTCGGCTAGAAGTTAGTGTACTGTGTCTGATTGGGGTATCAATGTTAAACCGCGGCAAGATATCTCAGTGTGCCAGCATTATAAATTCGGCATTAGCCCAGTACAAGCACGCACGCGCGCGCGCACACACACACACACACACACACACACACACACACACACACACAGACATAGACACACATACACACACATACACAGACACACATACACACACAGACACACACACACACACACACACACACACACACACACACACACACACACACACACACACACACACACACACATGGATGCACGTTGCCATTGAAGTGTAATAATTTTGTCCGCGACTTTAAAACCTCTAGCTATCGTGACCTAGTGTAACAGATGCGGGATGAGCTGGGAAACTTGGTGTTCTCTTATCCTCAGCATCAGCAACACATGGGCTATCTGCGCCGTTGTGTCATGTATCCGTCTGACACAATTATGTTAGTCTTGGTTTAGGAGTTCATTGGATAGGAACATTTCTGCGCTGTGGGAGTTTTACGCACAGTTTTATTGAACAGGACGAAGGCTGGTCAAAACGTTCTAAGCCTAACAAACAAAACCAACAATTATGAAAGTGTTTTCAATTTTAGTTTTCAACGTTATCTCCCCCCTCCTGCTCTTCAATACATTTAAAAATTGTCATATCGATAGTGAAGCTTTTCAATTGCACTCAGGAACAAGTTTTCTGAAGCCACCCTGAAAAACCCATTCACGGCAGCTTTGAGGTCATCGTTTTCGTCATAGTGCTTTCCACGAAGGTGTTCTTTCAGCTTATGAAACAGGTGGAAATCACTTGGTGCCAGATTGGCAAGTGTGGATGGTCAGATTATCAGTATATTATGGAATACTACCAGAGACATTGTCGCGTTGTCGCATTGTCGCCCTTCCAAAAACAAGCAAAAAGTGTCAAAATTAACCCAGGCGTGACATTGCGACAATGCCACAACGCGGCATTTTGGCCATTTGTCGCATCGTCGCGTTGTCGCAAAAGATTACTCAATGATGATCCTCTTGTGAAGCATGTCAAGACTCATGATGACAAGAAGGCATTCCACAGTTTTCTTAAACGAGCCAAAGATGTATAACATAATGTCAGTGTTGATTTTGTTGATAGTTCTGTACTGCTGGACGGTACAGAAATGAGTGTCAACCAAGTCAAGTGCCATATCATGTCGGCCCAGACTCAAGGAGAGGCTAAACGATCACTGCATCGAGTTTATGGACAGTGTGTTGAGAAGATCAGCAACTTTGCAGAGTCTTTTGCATGGATGAAGTCGGCTGGCTTGAACAGAAGGCTTTCTGTTTGCTGCTCAAGATCAGTCACTTCCAACTCGAAACCGTCAATGTGTGATTTTGCAAAATGTAAATATGAAAAGTAGATTATGCAATGAATTTAATGAGACTGTCCAACACTTTGTCAGTTGATGCCCAGCTTAAGCGACATGATGGGGTGGCTAGATCATTTTATTACCATCTTCGCCATGCTTGTGGTTTTGACAAAGAGGTCCATCCGTGGAAAATGATAAATACAAAATTCTTTGGAATAGGCCCATTTACAGCTTCAGACGTATCCAGGCCAACACACCTGATCTTGTCCTTTTTGATAAATCCAATGAAAAAATTCATATTATTGAATTTTCTGTTCCTTTTGACACAAATGTGATTGACAAGATTCAGGAAAAACAAGCCAAATATGCGGACCTCGCTTTCGAAATGTCACGCTTGCATCCCCATTATTCTCTGTGCCTAAGGTTTGGTACCTCCCAATCTGTTGACTGACATTGGGAGAGTACCCGGGTTTTCTACCAGAAATACAGCCCTTCTGACAATCTGGGTAATGCAGGAGGCTGCAGTGTTGGGGAGTCTTCACATACTCCGAAAATTTAGCTGATGTACACTAACAAACAGAATATTGGTCCCCAGCAACTTAATTTGAACGTGTTAGGCGGGGAATCGAGCTAAAGCTCTCGGTGGATGAGCGAACGCGTTAAACACTAGGCTACCCCACCGCCCAAAAAGAACACACAATGCATGGACATGAGGCATGGATTCTTATCGTGTTGTGAGTGCATTAACGGCTGCATTTTAACTCTCCCAACATGGAATATTGCCCACTTGTAGACCAATGTACCCACGACTTTGGGGCAGAGATACCCAACAAACTCAGCATTGTGTAGGTGTGCACGTTACACCTTTTACTGTCGCTTCAAATAACCTTTGCTGTTGAAATGAGAGTTTTTCATGGCGAAAATAAATATTTCCATTTCGATTTTGGTCCATTTTCTTACGGAGCCAAACACATTGATAGTTAAACTACTGGTAAATTACAATATGTGACTTAGTTGATCGGATGGTTACAATGTGTGATCTGGTTGATCGAGTGGTTACAATGTGTGACCTGGTTGATCGGGTGGTTACAGTTTGTGACCTGGTTGATCGAGTGGTTACAATGTTTGACCTGGTTGATCGGGTGGTTACAATGTGTGATCTGGTTGATCGGATGGTAACAATGTTTGACCTGGTTGATCGGATGGTTACAATGTGTGATCTGGTTGATCGGATGGTTACAATGTGTGATCTGGTTGATCGGGTGGTTACAGTTTGTGACCTGGTTGATCGAGTGGTTACAATGTTTGACCTGGTTGATCGGGTGGTTACAACGTGTGATCTGGTTGATCGGGTGGTTACAACGTGTGACCTGGTTGATCGGGTGGTTACAATGTGTGACCTGGTTGATCGGATGGTTACAATGTGTGACCTGGTTGATCGGGTGGTTACAATGTGTGACCTGGTTGATCGGGTGGTTACAATGTGTGATCTGGTTGATCGGATGGTTACAATGTGTGACCTAGTTGATCGGATGGTAACAATGTGTGATCTGGTTGATCGGTTGGTTACAATGTGTGACCTAGTTGATCGGATGGTTACAATGTGTGATCTGGTTGATCGGGTGGTTACAATGTGTGATCTGGTTGATCGGGTGGTTACAATGTGTGACCTAGTTGATCGGGTGGTTACAATGTGTGATCTGGTTGATCGAGTTGTTACAATGTGTGATCTGGTTGATCGGGTGGTTACAATGTGTGACCTAGTTGATCGGTTGGTTACAATGTGTGACCTAGTTGATCGGATGGTTACAGTGTGTGATCTGGTTGATCGGGTGGTTACAGTGTGTGATCTGGTTGATCGGGTGGTTACAGTGTGTGACCTGGTTGATCGGGTGGTTACAACGTGTGATCTGGTTATCTTATGTCATCATCCCCTGACTTGGTTGATGAATGTCCTCTTATAATTACACCGATGTCGTACATTATGTTAAACACAGGCCGCCTGTAATATTGCTGACTGCGTCCTTAAACTACATTAACTACCTCGCTGTCGTGTCTTTACTCCTGCCTAAGGAAGTTTGAATTATCACTTTATTCAGCAACATTTGTAATGATGAAAACAGAAAATCGAAATAACAATCCAGTTTTATTCCAATATGAAGGTGACGAATACACACACGCACAACGCCATATATATAAACACGTACATAATACTGACACATTCATTGTTTGTAACTTATTTATCTTTATATATTTATGTTATTTTGGTATTTCTGATAAATTTTATTTAAATAATAATAAAATATCATTATAATCATTCAGTCAAAGAAACTTTCGAAACAAACTTAAAATCCATGTTTTATATACAGCAGTCATCAGTATATGAACATTGTTTACTGTTATAATTTCCTACTCAAAGACAGAACTGGATTGTCTGGTCCATACTCGATGATTTACAGACCGCAGTCATATGGCTGGAATATTGCCGAGTGCGGCGTTAAACAACAAACAGACAAACAAATCAAAGACAGAATGCACGCACTAACGTGTTGGCTGGCATCTGTAAGCGGTAGACTAAGAATATGTCCAATACCAGGGTTGTAGTTTTTCTCAAATGCGTCTGTTATATTTGATCTGTGAAACTTTAACATAACCTATAATATACTGCACTTTATTAAGATATAGGGCATGAACAAAAGGACAACAAGGATGAATGAAACAAGCAGACATTTCTACAGTAAAACTGTCGCCGCGCAAAGAGAATATCAAACCAGTCCACGAGAAGACGCGACGTTCCTAAGGGTATCTCTGAACCAGGAAGAATTACGCGTGCACACATTTGCGAAGTCGAGAGTGTAGAAAGAATACTCCATAACCTATATGTTTCAACCAGACAAAAACAGTACAAAACATTGGTCACATAAACTGCCGGGTAAAAGAACTTATACACCCATGTTTGATGGTGGCTAAAAATGAAATAAACAAGAAATGGTTATTCGATGGTGGTGTATTTGATACGGGTATCATGGTTGTGTTTTGGTCCTTAAGTTTGCAGTGTTCCGCCGACTGTTTTCAGCCTCGTAACGGTTTGATTGCGTTTGTAATATTTTGGCCAAATCCATCTTTCTAGCGTATTCCTTCTTTTGTCCGGCAGTTAATTCATCACCTATTATATACATGCTTATATTACCCAGGGGACATTTGTAACAAAATGATCACGGGACTTACCTGGACAATGTCACGATATTACAACATATGTTTCCTCACAATTCTTTTCGCATTACATTGAAACACTAATATAAATGTTCGTACATTGTTACCATTGGAAAACGTTTTGATATGTACAAAAGTCAAAAGTATAAATTAATATAAAATGGAATCTATTTGGAATCAGTATTATTCCATCTCTGGTAATTCTTCCATCTTCCTGTTTCAATCGGTAAAGGATGCCAACAGGTTCTGAATGAGAGAAGTTCAGTTGCCAAAGACAAAGGGAGATCATTCTCAGTAAAAGATCTCTTCTTTAAGACAAGACAAGACAATATGTTATGGTTTTCAAAGGATTAGATATATACGGTCTATGTCATGATACTTTCAGTAAACAACAAGCATGGGCGATAGAAAAAATCAACCTTCTCCGTGCAAAGAATGAAAAGGTGATACGCACACACAAGCGATGTATCGAGTAGAATTTAGATGTTGATGGACAAAGCACGCGCAATCGGAGAAAAGTGGAACAATATTGATTTTACGTACTCAAGATTAAAATCTAGACATATTTTCTTTAGAAATTTCATAGTGAGGCATCAAGGACAGATTTATCGATTTGGGATATAATATGTATTGAATAATGACATTATGTTGTAGAGAGTCTTATGCCGCGGAAGAATTCGGGTAGGGGAGGTAACTCCGGTCAGTTAACAACGTTTCAGATATCCGGAAGCTCGTTCAACATTATACTAGTAATATTTAAGAAAACGGATAATCGAGGGTCAACTGTGAAAACTTGTCAACGTTCACATCAACACCAAGTGATAATAAACAAGAAACGCAACACAGATATGCCAAAAAGATCATAAATAATAAATATGAACAGTATTTACAAGTTACAGGGAAACACCGGGCGTAGTGAACACAAGAAAGAGACGATTGCACGAATGAGCACCTTGTGACGTCAGGTGAACACCTCACCATCCATAATGGCCACCATCTGCAACAGAAATGTATCCTTATATCACTGAAGTGATACAGAGAAGTGCATCGCATGACATCAACAAGCTGCTATAACAGATGACACGTACGTTACTGATAGGTTATTCATAAGATCATTTCATTCAGTTGGATATTCCAGATTTTTGGTGTTGTTTGTTGAATATTTCACCCTGCACTAAAGAAGATGGCGAGCTTATGTCATTTCCGATTGCGTGCATAACACAACGTTGTTTTATATTATTTGTTGTTTAAACGCCGCACTCAGCAATATTCCAGCTATATGACGGCGGCCTGTAAATAATTGAGTCTGGACCAGACAATCGAGTGATTGATATTGGGAAGAGCGCCTAACGCCTTGGGGGTACAATGGCACGTCATCAATCAAGTCACCGAGTCTGACCACCCGATTCATTTGGTCGCCTTTGACGACCGGCGTATGTTGCTGGGGAACTATTCTAACACGAATCCCACGGGGTTACACACTGAGTGAATTACATACTCACCGCCAAAAGAAACGCGAATACCATGATGATACATGTTGGTTAATATATGAAGAATTACTCATAGTCAGGAGACATTGATTGGTTGGATGTACAACCGAACATACTGGAATGTTATGTGAACCAACGCTCATGAACACATCAAATGTGACGTCACAGATCCACGACTCGAGATGCACCATTTGTCTCGTGCAGGTTTATCGTGTAAATTTTGGAAATCACGTGCAGCATCGTGATAAGAATAAAGACACAATGGTAACACTTGACTGATTGTTAGTTTTGTCATGACGTGGGACACATTGGAGTTCTTCACGTACATACTTCTCTATATGTTTCTGTGGTTCGCGTTTCTTTTGGCGGTGAGTATACTTATTTAAAACCACACAATGTAGACTGAGCTGAAATTCAACGGGCCAGGGATAAAGGCTTCAATTCACAGCAGTAGCATATTAATTATGTCAATCACAGAAAACCCCATGTATCAAATTGCTGTTTATCAAATAACTGCAATCAGGGATAATCCAGGTAGGCCTTGATGGCTTGTTACCTGGATCAGACAAACGTGTAGTTCAGAGCATGAGAGTGAGTGAGTGAGTGAGTATGGTTTAACGCCGCTTTTGGAAATATTCTTCACACATTGTACCCATGTCGGGAATCGAACCCGGGTCTTCGGCGTGACGAGCGAACGCTTTAACCATTAGGCTACCCGACCGCCCCCAGAGCATGAGAAGCACCGGATCTTCATTGCATGGGGAACAGGGATCTGTTTTGTCCCAGAATCTCCACATGAATGAAACGTGTGGATAGTCGCTCCATACATCATAGTAAATACATTACGTCAACGCCAGACAATAACCAGTCTCGACTATTCACCGAAACAGATTTCAGTGGCCGTGTAAGGCGAAATAGTGAAAGTTATATGAAGGATCACTGATAGTCAGTGATGACACCAGGTGTTCGAGGAAAGGGTAGGCATGTCATGTCCTCCAGGTAGCCCACCCACTCACATAATTTACATGAAATGTGTTTGTTGCCTGATGCCGCACAGCAGTCCTCCTGCCATGCTACGACAGCCTGTAAACAAACCAGACAATCAAGTGATGGACCACAAAGTCGTGCAGGAAGAGGGCCGAACTGTAAATCCATCATTGGAAACGTCTGTATAATGGTTTCTTGTAATTAATAAATAACATACCAGCAAACAGTTGGATACGCTGTCTAAAGTTTTCCCCGATGAGTTAATTAGTACTTTCATTAAGATGTGATTGTATGAATTGTAGCTAACGCCGCTCTGAACAATATTTTAGTTTCTTGACGTGGGAGGATATCCCGAAGTGATGCAGGTCGTCAGCGACTACACATAGACTGAACACACGATCAGAGGATCCTGACACGACTAAGGGCAGCAACTGTGCACAACGAATTGCCGCGCTTTAGACCAATAGGTAACTGGTGCACTTTCTCTTGCACTGACCTAAACAGCACAAACAACAAAATAGTAATCAATGGTTCTGGATAACAAATATTTGTAGTAGCTCACCTGGTATCAATGACTGCAAGTCATCCCACAACAGCTCCTAATACACCGGAAGCTGGAGCCATGGCGAGCTGCGCAGTAGTGGTCACTATGGCAACCGACATGGAATCCGGAACAGTGGCAGCCAAACATCATTCTTCCCCATCTTTTCATCACTTTATGGAGCTGCTTTGTCGTCCGTGTGGATCTTTTCAAAATAGGATCTCTCAAGGCAGGTGTTGACGTTTTTTCGTACAGGCGGGACACGTGATCACTACTGGTCAGCATGGATAATTTGCCGGGTCTGTTTGCCACTGAATGAAAAATAATATTCATAAATGTCTGAAAACTCATCACATCGTATTCTTCATTAAATATACCTATAAAAACGCTACACACACATACACACATACGCACGCACACACAAACACACACGCACGCACGCACACACAAACACACACGCACGCACACACACTCCTCGCCGTAAATGTCAACAATATCATATGTGTTAAGGAATAACTCTTGTTAAAATATGATTTCATTCTTTTGCATGTATTGCATATAAACTCTCTGGCAAATGAAAGCAAACACTTACAAATTTGATTTGACCAAAGAATTACAAGCGTTATGAAAACGTTTCAAGAGGCCGAAAACAGTCGGCGAAACACTGCAAACTTAAAATCCAAAACACAGCTATGATCCCCGTATCAAGTACATCACCATCGAATAACCATGTCTTGTTTGTTTCACTTTTAGCCACCATCAAACATGGGTGTATACTGTCTCCTGTCCGGCAGTTTCTTCAGGAAACATTGTCCTGCTGACTTATAAACCTACTGGCTGTTTGTGGAACTCGATATGGAGTTTTTGAAATTGTGGTAACACCTCGTAGGAGGTATAACAACGATTGTAACACCTCGCAGGAGGGCTTACAATCATTGTAAACCCTTGATAGAACAAAACCTACGAACAGCCTACGAGACGCACTTGCAGACTTCGTGCCATTGCGAGACGCACTTGCAGACTTCGTGCCATTGCGAGACGCACTTGCAGACTTCGTGCCATTGCGAGACGCACTTGCAGACTTCGTGCCATTGCGAGACGCACTTGCAGATTTCGTGCCATTGCGAGACGCACGTGCAGATTTCGTGCCATTGCGAGACGCACGTGCAGATTTCGCACTGTTGCGAAACCACGTGCTGAGGTCACCGGTTTCATTGAACCGAGTTCACGACTGCAGACGATATTTCATCTCCGATACAGGTTATACATTTGAGAGTTTTTATCACAGTTATTTAATTAAAAACGTTGTCAATGCGATGAGTCGGTTTATAAGTTGGACAAACCATGCCTCCTCGAGATTACTAGAGATTGTAAACCCTCACATTCGGGAACGTCCTTCATGTGAGGGTTTACAATCTCTAGTAATCCCTCGGAGACATAAATGGTTTCTCCGACACATATAAATCGCTTGCGGAATATCACTTTCTCCCTAAAGGCACAATGTGGATTGGTACATTTAGCTAAAGACGAAAACAACCTGAGTGAAATATACAACATAATTATATATCCTTTGTAAAATTCATATCTTTAATATGGGAATAGATATTAACAGGGAACTAGATTAGACATCTAAAAGGCCACAATCCCCTTATAAATCTGTCGAAACGAGATTCTATGTGATTATCGTAATATTAAGCCGTTATTTAGTGATTTATACTTATGGTAACGGTTCTGTGCTGTCACGGCCATTGTTCCTAGTAGATTTATGGTGACAATAGCTGATAGACTGAACCAATAAAGATATATTAGTTTAATATACAGAACTAGTTCACGAACCCTGCTCAACAAAACAACCGCGTGTCCCGTGTGCTCGTCAAAGGTTCACTCGGCTCACCTCAACCCTGTCAGTCATTTCCACCGGGAGGAATCCAGATAGTAACTAGTTTCAACAGTTTATATTTGTGTTACTTTTTTACTTTGCTGTTTAACGCCGCACTCAGCAATATTCGAGCTATATGAGTGAGTGAGTATAGTTTATCGCCGCTTTTAGCAATATTCCTGCCATATCACGGCGGGGGACACCAGAAATGGGCTTCACACGTTGTACCCATGTCGGGAATCGAACCCGGGTCTTCGGCGTGACGAGCGAACGCTTTAACCATTAGGCTACCCGACCGCCCATCGAGCTATATGACGGCGGCCTGTACATAATCGTGTCTGGACCAGACAATCAAGTGATTGACACCATGGTCATCCATCTACACAGCAATGTTGAAACGATGACATACATTTACAAAGTCAGTGAGCCTGACCATCCGATCCCGTCAGTTGGGCGAAAAACGTTGGTGGTTGCTAACTCGGATCTTCAAGGGGACTGGCTCATCTCGTGTATATTTTTCTTAATAAAAGACCTACTGTTGTAATACAGATCACAGTGGTAAGCCACACGTGTATTTTGTCACCTCTGTGTCCATCCGAACCAGGGTTAACTGCCCTCTTAACTGAGTTCGGATTGAAAGCGGAGTAAGTGAGTGGGTAGACTTTTACGCCGCTTTCAGCACTATTGCAGCAATATCAGGACAGGAGACAATAGAAATCGGCTTTACACATTGAACTTGGAAATCAAACCAGGGCTTTCGACTTGACGAGCGAACGCTTTAAACATTACGGCTTCTCAACCGCCCCTTTGGTTGGGGGAAAGACGTTTGTCACTTTGGCGAAAACCTGAGGGCTTTTGTCACAGATCTGGGACCATTACCAGGGTGTACCGTGGACAATAACAGTCCCAGGCATGGCCTGGCGGTGAGATGGCCTAGTGGTCGTCTCGGGTCTCCACACACGTGTACAATGGGTGACGCCCGTTCTTGGAAACCCCCACCGGAATATGCATATGGTTGAAATTTGCAAGAAGCGGCATGAAGCCATACACACTTAATAAAATCAATTCTTTTTTACTTCCCTTAATGAAGTTATTATCTTGGCATGTATTGTTTGTTTGTTGTTTAGCGCCGCACTCAGCAATGTTCCAGCTACATGACGGCGTTCTTACCATGTAGACAGGTAATAGAATCAATTGGAATATGAAGTAACATTATGAACGAGCATTGATATATGTCATGATTGAATCAGCTTGTTTACCACAGAGACTTTAAATCAGTGATGGTGTTACGCTGCTTTTAGCAATTTTTCCAGCAATATCAAGGCAGGGGATACCAGAAAGGGGTTTTACACATTGTAGCCATTGGGAATTGAACCCTGGCATTCGGCGTGGCGAGCGAAACCTCTAACCACTAGGCTACCACCTACCCTTCCCCTCCCACCCCACCTCTCCCCTCCCCCTATCTATAATAATGGATGCATGCCATAATGAGTTGGTGAATGGGTTTAGCTTAACACCGACATAAATCGACCCTCCTTTCAACATAACGAAGCGACTTAGACAACTAAATCACTAGTTTTCGCTACATCGATGTATAACCGACTTATGTAATAGTAATGTACACTGTTGATACTTACATGCTTGTGCCATCATCAGTACAGTGATGCAAAACCAGATTGACATCAACTGGAACATCGCTGAACGTTTAGGTGATGTTTCGTCTTGCTCGGGATAGTGGATTCTATCGTGATCCGCACGCGGGATGTATATAGTAGGTGCGTTAGTAGTATACCCACCTACCACGACAGTGATTGGCTAGAGTTTACGCAAAAGCGAGAAACAGCCAATCAGGTGTCGTCTATCGGTTTTTATGACACAGTGTTTGCCTTTCTGGCAATGACTCAGCCCTGAGCGATAAACGGAAAACACGAGGGCAGATGACAGACGTTTGGGGAAATCATGATTACGAAAAGTGTCGAAATGTATTTACATACGAAGGAGCTTCGCACGATTTATTCATGTATATGACTTCTATGGACTCATTGTTGCGTGCGATTTGGTTGTCATTAAGGAGGCACGTGTGGCCCAGTCGTCTAAGGCGTGCCAGAAGCTTGTATTATCTGTTCGAATCTGTTCGAATCTCATATTCTCCCTGATTATGTTTCTTTGTTTGTCACTTACCAACGTCAAAGACCTGCGTCAGGCTTTTATCCAACATCAAGTTAACAGAAATAATGCTTGAAGCGACGTTAACCATGCTTGTCGTAAGAGGCGACTAACGGGATCGGGTGGTCAGGCTCGCTGACTTGGTTGATGCATGTAATCGGAATCAGTTGCGGAGATGACCATGATGTCAATCACTGGATTGTCTGGTCCAGACTCGTTTATTTGTAGATCGCGATTATATGGGTGGATTATTGCTGAGTGCGGTGGTAGACAACAAACAAACAAACAAACAAACAAACAAACAAACTAAAACAGCGTTTATTTCAGCTCACTCAGTATTGTCATTAATCCGTCCCTGTTCAGTGAAATTTCGACCGCCTCCGTGGTCTAGTGGGAGATCTAGAGTTTTCGCGCGGAGAGCGGAAGGTCCGGGGTTCGATCCCCGACCGCGTCATGCGAAAAGACGTTAAAAGATGGTATTGAGGGACTAAAACAAGGACTGGTCGGCTCGGAGTCAGTATACTGTGTTTGAGTGGGGTATTCATGTTAAACTGCGGCATGCACTATAAATCGGCATCAGTCCGGACCAGTGCACGCAGACACACGTGCATGCACGTCGCTATATAATTGCAATAATCTTGGACGCAACGTTAAACCCTATTTCACCTAACCTCACCTCACCTGAGTGAGTGAGTGAGTGAACGAGTTGGTTTGTGAGTGAGTTTGTGAGTCAGTGAGTCAGTGGAATCACACACCGCTATGAGTCGCACTTGAACAGATCACACAGCGCCCCACCTTGGTGTAACCTGTCAGAATTTATTTCATTGTATGCATAGGTTTATTCCACTGAAAGTAAACTTATGGTTTACATTTTCGAATAACATTTATGTGTTTTATTGCTTCCAGCACCAGGCACAACACGACGCGATATCACGATACACTCTCACGCGTCTCTACACCAACAGTTTATGTACAATGTAGGCGGCACTCCCTCCACGTCTACGCGTTATAAATTATACAGCGTTCACCATAGACTTGATACTCTGTTGACGGCCTGTACGTTTTAAGTGTGTTACTTTTGTGATCTGGCGTAAACACCGAAGTGCTTTCTATCACTGATGATGAACATTGTTTTGGCTATTAGCATTGCTCTTTTAAATCAATAACAAAACAATTTACCTCAGGGTAAATTCACATGGCTTTTCTTGACCTTTATGTCTCAATAATGATCATGGTTTAATAAATTAAGAAAAATAGCTCTGATTTAGGGATGATGTTTTCGTTAATAAATGGTATCAATTGCAGTCTTGCAGAGATAAAGCACAATTTCGAATTAACTCGTTAACCAATGCAACGTCAGTTGCTTCCTTCCAAAAGAAGGTGAGGTCAGGTGAAATGGGTTTAGTGTCACGTACTGCACTTATATAGCGACATTCATGCACATGTGTGGGCGTGCGGGCGATGCCGATTTGATTAGGCTAGCCTATTGATGTACAGTCGACCCTCGCTTATCCGGAAACTTGCGTGTTCTCTAATAGTGTCTGGATAAAACAATTCCCGGATATGTGAATCGCTTGCCAGTTACCTCCCTTACCCAAATTCTATGGAGGCCGTGGATGTTCTTCTCAGACTCAGTATACTGACTCCGAATCGACCTATCATTGTTTTAAACACTTATTACGAGCGCCAGGCAGGGTAAGGACAGGTACCATCTTTTAATGAATTTTGACATGACCCGGGTTCCAAGAGAAGTATTGTAATGGATGTGTCTATTAAGTTATCAAGTAGACCCAAACTCAACAGTCCTCCCCTGACTCGTGTGAATGGGAGAGAGAGTTAGTGAGTAGGGTTTTACCCGGCATTTGACGGCACCCAGGAATTGACACCATTGTACACATGACGACGTGACGAGCGAACGCTTAAACCACAAGTCCTGCACGATTTGAACTACACCACTTAATTATTGTTATATATTAACATTTATTTATTTGTTTTTCAAATTCACACACACGGCGCTCGTCACGCTGAAGACCCGGGTTCGATTCCCGACATGGGTACAATGTGTGAAGCCCATTTCTGGTGTCTCCCGCCGTGATATTGCAGGAATAGTGCTAAAAGCGGCGTAAAACCATACTCACTCACTCACTCACTCACTCACACACACACACGGGTTAAATGCCTGGGTTTTTTAAATTCCTGCATTTATCAACATCAGTTTGAAGAGAAAGTATGTTGAGGGGTGATTCTCTTTTGACCCTAACACCCATCAGGACTAGGGGCTATATTTACCAGAAGCGTTGTGTCCTCTTGAGCCGGGTTTGACAATGATTGTCTGATAAAGCAATTTCATCAAAATCACTATTACGTTTTATTTATTAATACTTTCACCTGAGCAATCTCAAATATCCCGCTAGTATATAATAAATGCATTGTACCTGTGAATACTCGACATTTTTTCAGTGTGTGTGCATTTGTCAATCGTTGTTTACCGTGCCAGCTTCGTGTATCTCCGCACAAAGGGCATCTGTGTATCTTTGAAACAACTATCTCAAGAGGTGGTTACGATAGTCACAATTCAACAATAGACGTGTATCCATTGTTTCCAAGCTTGTGAAATCCCCGCAATGCTTAAAACCCCTGGGGATATTTGTTCAATCTACCCGCGCTTAAACGCCACCCCAACTGTCACCACAATCTTCTAGCTACAATGAAATGTCAGTGATTAAATATTGCCGATCACATCTTTATCACTAGTTGTAACGCGTGCCAAGTTGACTATTTACATGTTCCTGCTTTTAATTTTATTGACTTTGATTATATTGACAATAATACAATGTACGAATCGTGAATATCTAGTCCACCTTAAAGCCGGTTAATAGAGTAGGGATTTGTTCGTTGTGTTCTTGGTTTAACATACATTCGAAAGATTACCCTCAACAATAGATAGTCGAATCGAGGGTTGAACTTTCCCCCGTGCTTACTGTGACCTTGGTGATGTGTGTGCATGAATAACAGCTGCGTCAGTGTGCACTGGTTGATCACGCTCGTATTGCCTGTACAATGTATGTTACTAAAAATAAGTAAGGGACCACCCGATTCTTTCATATGAAATATAAGACTATGGTCTCTATCATGGCATGACATTATTTTTTGTAGAAATATGAAAAGAAATTGGGTGTTCCTTAACTTTTTTTAGTTGTACATATTGAACTGATTGAGGGAAAGTAGTGCTTGTTTCAGAGTCAGTCAACTCTATTGTCTACTATCGGTGCTTGTTTCAGAGTCTGTCAACTCTATTGTCTACTATCGGTGCTTGTTTCAGAGTCTGTCAACACTATAGTCTACTATCGGTGCTTGTTTCAGAGTCTGTCAACACTATAGTCTACTATCGGTGCTTGTTTCAGAGTCTGTCAACACTATAGTCTACTATCAGTGCTTGTTTCAGAGTCTGTCAACACTATAGTCTACTATCGGTGCTTGTTTCAGAGTCTGTCAACACTATAGTCTACTATCGGTGCTTGTTTCAGAGTCCATCAACACTATAATCTACTATCGGTGCTTGTTTCAGAGTCTGTCAACACTATGGTCTACTATCAATGCTTGTTTCGAAGAACGGATAACTCGACCAACATCCGATGAAAACTTTAGTTGTATACTCAGTCATATTCATTTGAGTTATAACCGTAGTTTACTGTAGTTCTACTTCCCACCTGTGTGTGGAAGGTATAAAGTGTTTGACTTTAGAGAAAAGTACTCCCCAAGACATTCATGACTGCATGTCACAAGTATATGGGATACGTGTCCTAGCTATTCCACTGTTAAACTTTGGGCATCTATGTTTAGGGCTGGGAGAACAAGCCTTTATGACGACCCTAGGTCTGGACGTCCCTCAACTTCCATCAATGAAGATTCAATCAAGGTAAGTTATATTGTCAGATAGACGTATTACCATTGCTGAACTTGAGGAAGACCCAGGTCTAAGCCATGGATCCACTGAAACTATTATTCATGAACATTTACAGATGAATAAGACATCTGCTCGTTGGGTGCTAACGTTTCTAAATGCTGATCTTAAGGAGAAAAGAACTGACATTGACAGAGAAAATTTAGAGCTTTTTGAGGAGGATTTCGTCAAATTCAAAAAGAGATTAGTAAGGGGCGATGAAACATGGGGCTAATATGATCCCGAGTCAAAACGTCAATCCATGATTTGGCACCATACCACTCCTCCGACACCAAAGAATTTCATGTCTTTATGATCAGTGAAGAAAGTTATGACCATAAAAGTCCAGTTTCCACCCTTGCCGAAATTGGCTGGTATTTTTGGAGTTACATTTTGGCTGGGCTAACGAGTCTGTGCATAGCCCAATCAAATTCGCACAACGAAATCGAAATCCGGTTCGTAAACTGCGTGCAGATTTCGGGCGATTGCAGGATTTGCGAAGCATGTGCACCGCTAACTCGTTGTCAGCAGATATTTTCCAAATCTTTTCGTGTTTTTAATCAAGGTGCTCACGTGAGTTGATGCATTTCGCGATGTAAGACCTGTTTTATCACAATATAAATCCTGATTGTCGATCAGATCGTCT